GTAGCTCAGCCAAAGGGGCACACTAAACAGGGGCTCAGGAAGAATAGCCACAGGGAACGTATACACGCTCAGCACTGCATTGCTCTTCACAGCAGAGAGAAGAAATGGGCTAAGAGCAAACTCTATTTGCAGTCCACAGACATGACCCCTCAGTCAAAACACAAGGCAGTAGGAGAAAGCCTAGCTGAGAGCACACTAGAGCAGAACCTGTCTATCTGAGCGGTACTTACCAGGTGCCACTGCTGAGGGTACTTGGGATCATTGAAGTGGATGCTGCGCTTGGCCCTCTTCAGCAGCCTCTGCTCTGAGTGCCAGCGCACAGCTTCGTGCCTGGCTAACACAGCCTCTGCCTGCTGCCGCATGGCCTCCACTTCCATGGCTTGCCTGTGCCCAGCTGGCTGGACGAGGAGGTAGTGCCCATGGAGCTCTCCAATGCGTCCAGCATTCACCAGGCCTGCTGCCTGTGCCAGGGCATCTGCCTGTTGCATCAGACTCTCTTCCTTCCTCTCTCCTTCCAGGCTGTCCAGATGTACGGCCCAGCTTAGCCCCCCTGCACCCAAGTTGTCAAGCCCACTTGCCTTTGACAGGCCCATGACCCAGGGAACCATAAAGAGGAGCCCGGTTAATTCCAGCCAGAGGCAGATGGGCAGGCCCAGGGGGGCATTCAAGTGTGGGACTTTCTGCCTCCCTTTCGGCATCAGAACAGCAGGCTGCAGACAAAGGGAAAGGACATCAGCTAAGAAAGAGCCAGCAACGGCAGAAATGTCATAGAGTGACTATGGTCTATCAGTGTGTTCCCCTTGGAAAGTACAACCCACTTCTTTCAAAGGATTAGTCATTTGATATTCATATTCTCTATCCCTACCCCTACCAACTACATCTGCCTCTAATCAAAATGTTAACCCCAAGCTGCAGTATGAGCCAGGGCTAACCCCAGTGGACCATCTCTGCTGCACCAATAGCCTGGCATTACCCAGGTGCTCATGGGCTTCAGGCTGCTCAATTGGTATTCAAAGTACACATCACTCCCATGACTGACAGCACCAGGACCCCATCTCCCCACCCCCCCCTTTTTTTTTTTTTTTTGGACAGGATCTCACCACATAGCTCTGGCTGTCCTGTAACTCACTATGTAGATCAGGCTGGCTTCAAACTCAGAGATCTCCCTGCCTCTGCCTAGGATTACAGGTATGTGCCAGCACACCCAGCTCTACTGCTCTCTTATTTAGAGACAATACAAATCTTCCCCAGCTGATTCTGACAACCACAATGGGGCCCATTCCTACCTGGGCTCTCTGTGAAGTTTAGGTCCTGGTCTGGGTAACCACGTCACATTCATTTTGTGAAACTGGAGGAACGGTGTCAGCTTTACTGTGAGGAGTGTGGCTGTGAAGACAAGCTGCAGACCTATGGGCCCCAAAAACCAGGGGGTGGAAAAAAGTATCCCATCAAAGCCAATCAAACAGGAGTGATAGTGAAGGCTAGGACTGACCAGCGACCAATGTGAAGTGTCATTTCCAGGGACCTAAAAACGAGTCATAGACTGGAAGAAATAGCCCACTTCTTGACCTAGCACGTCATTCTTTTCTCATTTGCTTTTCTTGAAGGCTTAGCAGCACTTAAATGCTAGCATCTCCTGTTACCAGGAAACTGGCAACTCGGCCCCCAGCAGTCCAGGGGGGGAAATCAGGTAAAAAGCTGATAACAAAACTTAGCAGGCATAAATGCATGTGGATAACTGGGAGAATGGAAATGACTGGCAAGAAGGAGTAAAGAGCTGTCCCTGTGTCACCAAGCTGACTTTTCAGTGAGGGCACAGACTCCACCCTGACTTTAATCACTTGAAGGCCAACTGCCAAAGTAAAATTAGTGAGCAACTGTGAGGGAAAGGGACAAGGCACCTGGGCTCCTTTAAAAGCCACTACTGTCTACTGAGCCCACCCTGGAGCAGTCTTAGCACCCAGACACACACTCAAATGGGGCCAACTTAAAACATTCTAGAAAAGGTATTCTGTCTTATGAAAGACTTCTTGGAAAGGGAGAGAAGTTATGTCACCAATCACTCCTCTCCCAGATTTTTCCATTAGTGTAGCTTATCCCTTTTCCTCGATTTTGTTTTTATTTTTTTAAACAAGATTTCTTTTTATAAACAGCTGAGGACTCATGATCCTCTTTCTTCTACCTCTTTACTGCGGTGATTACATGTGTGGGCCACTATGCCCTCAAGTTCACGGGCATATTCCCTCTTACATTCCTCCCTGACCCTGAGTTGCTTCGATTGTCCCAGGATACCTAGTCTGCGTAGAAGTAAATTCAGAATCCGGTTAGATAGCTAGCGGTCATTCACCCAGACAGGTTCTTAACAATCGCTGTAGGTTTCACCCGATATCTGGAAGAGAATCGGAGCTTTTCCTGTCGCCCTGGGGCATAACCACACTTATTGTCAAGCTTCTGGGCAAGAACTCATAAGCACTTTCCGGGAGCAGACCCCATCTCCCTCAACTGCTAGGTCTATCAAAATAGCATTTAGTTACCAAGGAAGATCTCCTGTTCAAGATTCTGCTCTTTAGCCACTGTCCTTCAAGCCCCTTTACCCTGCTCAAAGCAACCAGGTCAAGCACAGAATGTTAGTTTCACTCGTGACCCCCAGGAGACTCGGTTGCTCTGTGCAATGCGCCCCTCTCTCATTAGGACCTATGCTATCCGGAACCTAAGACCCGGAGGCCTTGTCCCGCTCGGGTCGCCCACGCCAGGTCCCAAGGTGCCCTCAGCGCAGCTCCTCCTCCGCACATGCCGATCGCTCCAGTCCAGGGCCACCCGGATTTCCGAGGTCCAGCCCGCTACCCCTACTCCCCAACTCACCCGCAGCAGCCGCCGCCGCCGCCGCCGCCTCCTCCTCCTCCGCCGCCGCCTCCTCCTCCCTGCGGAAACTCGCGGCTTCCCGGGAGCCGGAGGAGCCACTGACAGCAACATCACTTCCGCCTGGCGCCGCAGCCAATCAGCGGCTGGGCCTTCGACCTCTCGACCCGCCGCGGGCCTAGCACCGGGCGCTCGGCCGGTGCCCGCCGACAGCTTCCGCCACGGGCCCGTGCGGGCTTTGCGGGCTTCGGCGCCCCGCGTCCTCCAGTCCTTTGCCACAGGAGCCCTCCGCAAGAGGGCCCTCGTCCTTCATGGCGTCCTCTGAAAGGACCATCTCGGTCCCGACCTCTAAACACCCCTCGTGGCTCTTCTCCCTCGGACTGCCATGGCCTTGACTCTCCCCCGTAACCTCCTCAGAGTGGCTTCCGCCTCCACTGCGTGGGTCGCAGGCTGCCTGGGCCGCGTTCCCTCGGCTCGGCTGTGTCTTAGGGTTCTCCCGCGGTGACCCCCGTTGCCCGGGCGCAGCCCGCGTGTGCCGCCAGAGGGCGCCGTCGGTGGCGGCGCGCACTCCGCGGGGCCGCTCCTCTCGCCGCCCGGGCCTCGCCCCCTGCGCTCGCGCCGCCGGAAGTGGGAGGTGCCGCGCGCGGGCCGGCGCTCGACCCCTCCCCCAGGCTCGGCCGCCCCCTCCCCCCTCTCCGCCCGCTCAGGTGCGTCCCTTCCCTCCCCCCCGCCTTTGCTCCCCGGGGGCGCGGCGCGGGAGGTGTGTGCGGGGCGGCGCGCGGGCAGGGGCGGCGGGACTAGGGGGCGCGGCGGGGGGCGGGGAGGGGGCGGCGGGGGACGGGGGCGGGAGCCCGGCCTGGGTGTGGGACGGGGGGTGGGGGGGTAGCGCTGGCGGCCGGTGAGGACCGAGGGGCAGGGGTGGAGGTGTCGCTGGCCTGTGCTGGCTAGCGGCCGGCGTAGCGGCCGTCTCCTGTGAAGAGTGGCGGCGACCACCCGGCGCTGCTTCCCCCCATTGTCCCCTTCTGCGTCGCCTCCTGGCTGGCGACCGCCACCGGGTTGCGGGATTCCCTTGGGCATACTGGACCCTCCAGCCAGATGTACGACCCCCCACTCCTCTCGCTTTAGGCTCCAGCCGCGGAGTTTTATGTATGACCCTTGCCTTAAGGTTTCCGTTTACCGGGACCTTGCTCCCTGTTGGAGGCAATGATCTCGATCCTGTTGGAGGCAGAATGTTTGCATCCGAGACAGCAATGGCGTGTTAGGGCCCATTTTCATCCAGGAGCTTTTTATTACGAGAGGAAACTGAGGCACTAGGCTGTGACTGCTGATTCAGCCTAATTCGGTATCTCATCTTATGCACTCTGGGTCCAGAGGTATTCCTGTGATACTGTCAAAATAAAAACAGGAATGTGAACTAATCCCTTCATCACCTAGTTTTTCTTCTCACCGTAGAAGGCTAAGTTTATTCCGCAGCAAAAAGGACGCTATTAAAAATAAAAAAGCGTCTTCTCGAGTTCTCTATTTGAATTAACCATGTTTTTCAACACCTCCTTTTCCTCCTGGAGTAGCCAAGTAGCAATCTGTTTTGCCACAATGGTAACTCGCTAGTCTGTTCTTGGCTAGTCTTCCCCATCCATGGGGAAGGAATCCTGACAGGGTCAAAAAGACACCCATGGAGATGGTTCAGTATGGTATGACTTATTCTTGGAAACACCTCCCCAAAAATCCTTCACTTAAATTAATAGAGAATGCTTTGGCTGGGACAGCCAAAAAGCGATTTTTAAACATTGATTCTCGGCCAAAAAGGTCATCTTTTATAAATGGCAGTAGACAAGACGGACCATTTGGAAAATTCGTATCCTATTGTCATCTATTTTAAATGGCAGCATTTCTGTCAACAGAGAAGGTAAAAGCTTTGCATAGGCTCCTAAATATTTATGTACATATGACTGAATGCTCCTCAGGGTTGGTGCTGGCTGGTACTTCAGGCGTGAAGCGGCTTTTTTTTTTTTTTTTTTAATTGCCCTCCTGCAGAATACTCTTTTTTTAGGTGTATATTTTCAGAGCCTAAGTTCTTGGTGTTTGGAGGAACAGATACAGTGGGCATTCTGCAGAAGAAAGCTTTCAGCTTTGTAACTTGTATCGTATCCCTTGTATTTCAATGTCCAGAGTGCAGATGGCCTCTGAGATAGCTGGCGTTGGGGCTGGTGCCCCCAGTCCTTCGGAATCCTCTACTTTATGTGCTTCCAAGACAGATGATGCTCTCCCAGATGGCCTAAGGTAATGTGCAGACTCATGAAAAGGCTTATTTGAGAAAGGGGCTTGAAAATGGGCTTCTAACTGGCTAGCTGTAGCCTTTCCTCCTCAGCACTCTTAATGACACTCCTGCAGATTTTTTTAAAAGTAGGAACTGCTTGGTCTTTGTAGCAACTGGCACTTGGACAGGTGTGCTGGGTTAGGACATATATCCACACATTATAAAAGCATATATTTTTTGATGTGTCCTGTAAAGCCTATATGTTTATTTAATCATTCTTGTGTATCATCTTATTTTCTTCTTTCTTTTTTTAGACTTTGCAGCCCTGGCTGGCCTGGAATTCACTATGTAGACCAGATTCACCTCATACTGCCTCTGCTTCCTTAGTACTGGGATTAAAGGGATGCATTACTATGTGTGGCCATATTTATGTTTTTAAAAGTGAATATTCATTGTGTATTATGCATGCTGCGGAGGTGTGTGTACATTGGGAGGCCAGAGGACAGCTTTGTGGAATGGGCTCTTATTATTATTATGTGGGTTCCAGTGATCGAACTCAGATTGCCAGGCTTTTGTGGAAAGCACCTTTACCTGCTGAGCCATTTTGTCAGTCTTCATACTCATTTATAAGATACTTGGTTATATAGAATATATATATATACATATATATGTACAAAACTTAAACAGAAACATTATATGTATATCTTTGTTAATGTATCTTACTGTTAATGCATGTGTTATGCTTCTTATTAAAATGCATTTTTCGTTTTTTTCTTCCAACCAAATTTGTTTTTTAATTTTTTTTTTTTTTTTTCTTTTTGAGATAGGGTCTCACTATGTAGCTCTGGCTGACCTGGAGCTGGCTGTGTAGGCCCAGGGGCTGACTTTGAACTCAGAGTATGTCTGATTCCGCCTCCCAAGTGTTTAAATGTAGTGTTTATGTGTAACATCATAGTTTTCATGTGAAGATCAGGGAAATCTGCCAGAATCAGTGCTCTTCTTTCATCTTGTGGGAATCCGACTTAGGTCAGGCATGGTAGAATAGTGCCTTCACACACTGAGCCATCTCATTGGTTTCAAAACTCTTGGTGGTTGTTTTTTGAGGCAGAGTCTTTTGTAGTTCAGGCTGACCTCAAACTCACTGTGTAACAGAGTCTAATCTTGTCTCTACCTCCCAGTTGTGTGGACCACCACACTCAGCTCTCTCCTGCAGAGTCTTTCAAGCAGGAGTTGTGATTACCCAACCTTGTCTCTTGAGAATGTGTAATACACTGTTGTGTGCAATATTGAACTAAGTTGACTAGAGAACCTGGGGCCTAATACCGTAGGTATGTACATTAACACCTTCAACCCTCATTTAAGTCACTCAAGACAGGTGTTGATGTTCCTATAATAGCGAGGAAACTGAGACCCAGAGAGGTTAGTGACTTGCCCAAAGGTACAAAACTGCTAGAGTCAGAATTTGAACTCATGAACTCTGACTTAAGAGTGCTCAGTAAATATTTGTTCTTAAAAAGAGCTATTTGAGCCAGGTATGATGGCACATAACTGTAGTAAGAGTTGCTTGTTAGTGAGTGAGTAATAGGGGAAATGTTATAATAACCTACCATAAACTTGGATCTTTCTGCTTGCAGTAATTTTCTAAATTAAAGCAGCCATGTCTTTACTACTACTACTAGTAGTAGCAGCCAAAGGTTATTGATATTGAGTGTTAGGTGGACAAAACTATTTCTATTTTAGAAATAAAATAACTTGCCTAGAGGCAAATAGCTAGTAAATTGTAGAGTTTAGATTTAAATCCAGGTACTGTATTTACCCAGGTTTATAATTAAGTTCCCTGCCCCCATTCCACAGTTGGCTCTCAATAAGAATCACTGAGTATTTGCTAGGGGAGGGAAAGACATTTTCTTCAATGGCCTTGCCACTCCTATAATTAACCCTTCATCCATGCTCCTGTATGTATTAACCCTAAATAAACTTATTGGTCCTCTAAGGAAAAAAAAAAAAAGATAAAAATTAGCCAGGTTATGGTGGCGTATGCTTTTAATCCCAGCACTAAGGAGGTAGAGGCAGGTGATCTCTGAGTTTGAGGCCAGCCTGGTCTACAGAGTTGAGTTTTAGGACAGTTAAGACTAAACAGAGAAATCTTGTCTTGAAAAACAAACAAAAATTTAAAAAACTATTGAGTGTGTTTGTAAAGATGCCTGTATCACACTCAGTTGTTCTGAGGGAAGAGTACTTTACCTGAAGCCTGTTTTGGTGCCAGCTTGGGATGCTTAAAGGGTAAGTTGACAGTTACACATAGTACAGAGGAAGAGGGAAAACAGCAAAGGAATTTGATACAGACTTTTTAAAAAAATATTAGTATTATTGAGATAGGGCTTTCCTGTGTAGCCCTGACTGTCTTGGAACTCTCTTTGTAGACCAGGGTAACCTCAAACTCAGAGATCCTGCCTCTGCCTCCTGAACACTGGAATTAAAGACATGCATCACCATGCTCAGCTAATTTATTTTTATTTTATGTGCATTGGTGTTTTGCCTGCATGTATGTCTGTGTGAGGATGTCAGATGTGTGTGGAGTTACACACAGTTGTGAGCTGCCATGTGGGTACTGGGAGTTGAACCTAGGTCCTCTGGAATAACAGCCAATGCTCTTAACTGCTGAGGTATCCCTTAGCCCCTAGTTTGGTTTAGACTTTACTTCTGAGTGAAAGACTGGCTATGAATGTTGGATGTCACTGTAAGTATGTTTTAAGCATCTCTGGAAAAAGTCCTTCATTGGACTAGTGTAATGGTGTATACCTTTAATCTCAGCACTCAATAGGCAGAGGCAGGTGGGTCTCTAAGAGTTCAAGACCAGTCTGGTCTATTTAAATATGTGTTCCAGGCCAGGCAGGCCTACATAGTAAGACTTTGTCTCAAAACAAACAAACAAAACAAACAAAAAAAGCCTCCTAAGTGTTGGGATTAAAGGTATGTGCCATTACTGCCTGGCCAGATAGTGGCAGTGTTCAAAGATCTATGTGATGTGTTTGAAGGATAATTATTATTTTTAATTTAAGTTTTTAGTTGTGTTGGGGAGGGGGACTCAAGAACAACTTTAGGAGCTTTCTTATTTACTTTTATGGTTTTTTGTTTGTTTTTTGAGATAAGGTTTCCCTGTATTGCTCTGGAGCCTGTCTTGGAACTCACTCTATAGATCAGGCTGGCCTTGAACTCACAGAGATCCTCCTGCCTCTGCTTCCCAAGTGCTGGGATTAAAAGCATGCACCACCAACACCCCCGGCTAGGAGTTTTCTTCTTCCACTTTGTTACAGAGACTGGATTCAGGTCATCAGGGCTCGCATAGCAAACACCCACTGAGCTATCTTGCTAGACCAGAAAATTACTTTTTGGAACATGAGGTTGGGATAAAAACAGTGTTTTGTCAGATGTGGTGGTGCACACCTCCAATCCCAGTACTTGAAGCAAGCAGATGATACCTTCAAGACCAGTCAGTGAAGCCCTGTTTCAAATCAATCAATATATTTGTTAAACTATTATTTGTAACCAAGTTAGTACATGTACCTACTATAATTAGCATTGTCCTGTTTTTTCCTCTGTTCACAGAAGTTATTGTCACTCAGAATTTACTTTTAGATCTTCAGGGTCACTTGTGTTTAGGTACTTACTATAGGCCATCCCTAGAACTTTCCCAAGTTCTTGCCCTCCAGCTGGACTACTTGTATATGGGGTAGAAATTGTTGAGACTGGTTTCTTCTCATGATGGAGAGGGTTTATAGTATCTACTTTTGTTCTGGTGGCTGTGTTGGGGATGTGGCTCAGTGGTTAAACATTGTCCACCATGTGTAAGACCCTGGGTTTGATCCCAAGCACTGAAAAACAAAGTATTATATTTAATCTTCCAAATGTTGGGTAAAGAAAGAAATTTCCTTTTTTTTTTGTTGTTGTGCTAGGAGCAGAATCCAGGGTCTAAGGCATGCTAGTCAGGTGATATACCACTAAGCTAAAACCTTATCCCAGAAACATTGTTTTTTTTTTTTTTTTTTTTTTTTTTTTTTATAGCCCCAAAGACCCTGCCCAGAAACAGAAGAACTCATCTCCACCGAGTGTAAGTAGCCCAATGATAACCAAGGAGAGTAACAGAAATGCCCATTTGGAACACCCAGAGCAGAATCCTGGTTCATCAGCGAGTGATACCTCAGCAGCGCACCAGGAGGCTTTAGGAGGAAACTCGGTAGCCACAGCCCTTTGTCTTTCTGGCAGTGGGTCTCAGTCTGATTTGAAGGACTTGACCAGCCCGGCAGGAGAGGAGGGGGACACAAGCCTCCGGGAGAGCCTTCATCCAGTCACTCGGTCTCTTAAGGCAGGGTGCCACTCAAAACAACTTGCCTCCAGGAATTGCTCTGAAGAGAGAGCCCCAGCAGCCTCCATCCTAAAGGAAGGTAGCAGGGATGCAGGCTTGGATTTCCGACCTGTAGTGCCTCCTGCAAATGGGGTTGAAGGAGTCAGAGTGGATCAGGATGATGATCAGGATAGCTCTTCCCCGAAGCTTTCTCAGAACATTGCTGTACAGGTCAAGTATCAAGTTTCTACTACTAAAATGGAATTGGGGGAGGTGAGGGTATGAGCAATTTCTTCTTATATGTTAGAGAACTGCACTGTTTCAATTTTTGCTAGTAGTCATCATACTGTTTGCATATAACGCTATGCAATGGCTTCTTTTTGCTGTTCCAAGAACAAGAAAGCCAGTGTCTAATTTTGTAGCATGTAGGAACTATTGTGACCTACCTCCATATAATCTTTTTGGATGAAACCTTGAGTGGTGTAGATCCTTGGCATTCATACTTTTTTCACTACTCCTCCCCCCCAACAGAGTTTTTCTGTGTAACCATAATTGTCTTAGAACTCTTTGTAGACCAGGCTGGCCTCAAACTTAGAGATCTGCCCACTTCTGCCTCCTACATTCTGGGATTAAAGCTGTGTGGCACTGATGCCTGGCTAGCACTTGTACCATTAGTCTCTGTCCTCCCATTAGGAGTTCTTGCTAATTGTCTGTTCTACATCAAGAAGTACATCAAGAAGATCCCTGCTTTCTAGTGCTGGTGTGCTTTGTTGTGGGAAGAAATAGATTGCAGGAGGCAGTTGTTCTCTTAGATTTGTGGCTTTCCCTTAGACAGATTTAGACCATTTATGGGGTCAGTGAAGATTGTATTAAATGGTAATGTCTGTTTGCCAGAACTACATTGCTACTTTGTTCTCTGTTGCTGGTTTATAGGAGAAAAGGTCTAGAATAACTGTGTTAAAGTGACTTAAAGTCTTGAATATAATTTTTTTTTTTTTTTTTTTTTTTTTTTTTTGTAGACTGACTTTAAGACAGCAGATTCAGAGGTAAACACAGATCAAGATATTGAAAAGAATCTGGTAAGTTCGTACTTAAAATATCATTGTCACATAAAGCCATTGGAACACTGAATGTAGAGCCTTGTCATCTTGGTTGGGAAAAGTGCACATCTTTATACAGTCCCTGACAGTGGGAATGGACTGCCTCACCCAGCCTGTTACATTTTAACAATATCTCTTATGCCAGTCCTATTCTGAGGAGAGGACAGGGCTTCTGCAGCTCTTGCTATGTTTCTTGTGTGGGTTTAGTATTGGAATTTGTTTTCTATTTACCATTTTCTACATGTAATTTTAAATGTCCTTTATTTTTATTTTTGAGATAGGGTATTATTGTTATAGTCCTTGTTGGTCTCAGACTTTCAGTGTTGCCTTCTAAATACTGTGATTAGAAGTTTGCACTATTCTGTTCATCACTTTCTGTGTTTGACAAAGGGTCTTGTTCTGGAGCCAGGTCAGCCTTGAGCTCATAGCAGTCTTTCATGGGATTGCTGGGATTATTGGAGTGAGCCACCACATGTGACTTCTGTTTTGTTTGAAGTTTCATATAGCTTAGGGCTGACCATGAATTCACAATATTGGGGCGGGAGTGCTCTTTAGAGCTGTGAAGTTTTTGGTTGGTTGGTTTTCGTTTTTTTTTTTTTTTTTTTTTTTTGAGATAGGGCTTTTTCTGTGTAACAGTCCTGGTTGTCCTGAAACTCACTTTGTAGGCCAGGCTGGCCTGGAACTCAGAGATCTGCCTATCTCTGCCTCCTGAGGGCTGGAGTTAAAGTGTATACCATCACAACTAGCTTAATGCCCATATTTAACTCTCAAGCTTAAACCTTTCCAGATAAAGCATCCCCATGTTTTTAGCAGTATTCTTTTCTTCTTACGGTAATTTTCCTCTTATCCTAGTTACTTTACTGTGACACACTCTACCTTTATTACTTTTTAAAGTTAATTTTTACTTACTTAGTAATTTTTGAGATAGGGTGTCTTAGAGTTTCTATTGCTTCAACAAAACACCATGACCAAAAAGCAAGTTTTGTGGAGGGAAGGGCTTATTTAGCTTCATTTCAGTTGTTCATTACTGAAGGAAGTCAGGACAGGAACTCAAACAGGGCAGGATCCTTCAGGTAGGAACTGATGCAGAGGACATGGAGAGGTGTTGCTTTCTGGCTTGCTCCTCATGGCTTGCTCAGCCCACCTTCTTATAGAACCTAGGACCACCTGCTCAGGGATGGCACCACCTACCATGGACTGAACCCTCTTCCACTGATCACTAAGTGAGAAAATGCCTTATAGCTGGATCTCATGGAGGCATTTCTTTAACTGAGGCTCCTTCCTTTGGTGACTCTAGCTTGTGTCAAGTTGAAAAAGAACCAGCCAGTACAACTGACCCCTTGTCAACTTGACACACAAACATATCACTATTAAGCCACAACCAATCCCCTCTTATTCGTCCCCAAGATCTCACATTAAAAACATAAGTAACTTTAAAAGTCCCACCGTCTTTACGAATTCAAACACAATAAAAATTTTAGTCCATTTAAATAGCCAATCTATTTTAAAATCCAGTCTTTTAAAAATTCCAAGTTGCCAGGTGGCACATGCCTTTAATTCCAATACCAGAGAAGCACTGACAGGTAGATCTTTGTGAATTTGAGGCTAGCCTGGTCTAAGAAGTAAGTTCCAGGACTACACGAAGAACCCTGTCTCAAAAAACCAACCAACCAACCAAACAAATTCAAAGTCAACTGTGGGCTTCACTGAAATTCTTTCTTCAAGAGAGAGAAAAAAAAAGTCTGGGCACATAATCAAAACAAACCCACATTCCAAATGTCCAATGCCTGGGATCTACTCACAATCTTCTGGACTCCTCCAAAGAGGTTTGGGTCACTTCTCCGGCTCTGCCCTCTGCAGCACACATAGCTGTCTTCTAGGCTCCAGCTGATTCCACTCCACTGCTGCTGCTGTTCTTGGTGGTCTTGCCATGTATTGGTATCTCCAAAATGCTGGGGTCTTTGCTGCAACTAGGCTGCACTTTGACCGATAGCCTCTCATAGGCTTTCTTCAACTTTTTTGCATGTCCTCTTCTGTCCTGTGCCTTCAACTGTTAGTGAGACTGAATCTTCACCGATGGCCTCTCCTGACCTTTCACAATACCAAGCCTCAGCTGCTCTCCATTACACCCTTCATGCCTTCAAAACCAGTACCACCTGGGTGACTCTTACATATTACCAGCTCCAGCTGCCAGCACTAGGTACAACCTTGGCCACCCCTGGAACACAGCTTCTCTGTGCTCTCAGGAAACACTTCCCAGGAGTTTACCTCACGGATGCTGGTCTCTTCTTAATCACAACTAATTTCTTAGCTCCAGCTGACGAGCATCAAGTATCCCAGCAAAAGAGTTTCACTTTAGTAGTTCTGGTATCTTGTTAATCACAACTGATTTGCTTATATTCTTTTTGAAATTTATTTATTTATTTATTTATTTATTTATTATGTATACAGTGTTCTACCTGCATGTTTGCAGGCCAGAAAAGGGCACCAGTTGTTATTTTAGATGGCTGTGAGCCACCATGTGGTTGCTAGGAATTGAACTCATGGCCTCTGGACAAGCAAGCAGTGCTCTTAACCTCTGAGCCATCTCTCCAGCCCCAAGCCTCCATCTTTTTTTGTTTTTGTTTTCCCCCTGAGACATGGTTTCTCTGTGTAACAGTCTTAGCTGACCTGGAACTTGCTTTGTAGACCAGGCTGACCTTGAACTCACAGAGATCCTCTTGCCTCTGCATCCTACGTACTGGGACTAAAGGCATGCGCCACCACTGCCCAGCCAGGCCAGCATCTTACCTACTGCTTTGAACATTCTTATCTTCCAAGCTCCTAAAGAACATCCCAGTGAGCTCTTAACACTGAATTGCTCTTCTAGACCAAAGTTCCAGAGTCCTTCCACAGTCCACCCCATAACATGGGGTGGTCTGTCACAGCAATACCTCACTATGCTGATATCAATTTGTGTTAGGGTTTCCATTGCTGCAACAAAATACCATGACCAAAAAGCAAGTTTTGAGGAAGAAATGGTTTTCTTGGCTTACACTTTAGCATTGCTCTTCATTACTGAAGGAAGTCAGGATAGAAACTCAAACAAAGCAGGATCCTGGAGGCAGGAGCTGATGCAGAGGCCATGTAGGGGTGCTGCTTACTGGGTTACTCCTTGTGTCTTGCTCAGCCCACCTTCTTATAGAACCCAGGGCCACTTGCCCAGGGATGGCACCACCTACCATGGGATGGACCTCCCCCCATTGTTTACTAATTGAGAAAATGCCTTATAGCTGGATCTCATGGAGGTATTTACATAGCCAAGGCTTTTTTTCCTCTCTGATAACTCTAGCTTGTGTCAAGTTGAGGCACACAACCAGCCAATACATAGGATCTCACTCTGGCTAGCCTGGAAGTTGATATATATATAGGTCAGGCTCGCCTTGAACTTGAAGAGATCTCCCTGCTTTTGCCTCCCAAGTGCTGGCATTAAAAGGCATATACCATCAAGCCTGGCCCCATTGTTTCTTTAAAAGCTGATCATCACTGGGTATGGTGGTTGACAAATATAATCTCAACACTTGGGAAGTAGAGGCAAGAAGATCAGGAGTTCAAGGCCAGCCTCAACTGTATAGTGAGTTTGAGGCCAGCCTTGATACATGAGATGCTTGCCTGAAAAAGCTGGCTCTGCAAGCTACATAAAATAGTTTGGGTATGCTATAATTAGTTCACAATATACTTACATTATAGATTCTTTATTAAGTTTAAATTATTGCCGAGCGGTGGTGGCGCATGCCTTTAATTTCAGCAGTTGGGAGGCAGAGGCAAGTGGATCTCTGTGAGTTTGAGACCAGCCTGGTCTACAAGAGCAAGTTTTAGGACAGGCTCTAAAGCCTCAGAGAAACCCTGTCTGAAAAACAAAACAAAAAAATAGTAACCGTGTTACAATATGTTAAGCTCCTGTCACTTTATCAGTATTGTCATATGTATTGCTTACTTATATATTTTCATTTTGTCCCTTGGTAGTGGTTTGTTTTATTTTTTAGATGAGGTCCCACTATGTAGCTCAGGCCTGCCTTGCAGCTGCAATCCTCCCACCCAACCTCCCAAGTGCTGAGGTTACAGGTGGGTGCCACCAGGCTGACTGGCATGAGGAATTTTATTTTTATTTCACAGAAAGGGTCTTATTTTACCTAGACTGGCCTTGAACTGACTCCTTAGTAGAGGCTGTCCTCAAATTGTCTTCCTGCCTTTCCCTTCTGACTGCCAGAATTATCCGTGTGCCACACCGTACCTGGTTTTCTGCAGTACTGGGGATTTAGCCCTGGGCTTTGTGCATGCTAATCAAGTATTTTGTGAACTGAATTACATCTCTAACATACATATGTGTTTTCACATAGGGTCTTGCTTTGGCAGTTATTTGTAAAGTTTTTTTTTTTTTTTTTTTTTTTTTTTAAGACATGATTACTGAGCAAGGGTGGCAACAGAAGAGCTATGGGCCTCTTACTTTAGATCAAAACTGAGGACATTGAAATAGGAGGATCAGTGCAAGGCTAGCCTTGGCTGTGTGTTAAGTTCAAGACCATATCTTAAGAAAAAAGAATAAACAACCCCCCCCCCAAATAATAGAATTTTAGGTAGGTGATACTTATCTGTTAAAATAGTCCCCTTAGGCTAATGAGATGGCTTAGTGGGCAAAAGTGCTTGCCGTTCAAACCTGGTGACCTGAGACCATCCCCAGAGCTCATATAAGAATGGAAGTGGCGGCAGACTAGAAGGACAGCTTAGCAATTAATTAAAGAACCCACTGCTTTTCTAAAGCACCTGAGTTTAGTTTCCAGCACCCACATTAGATGGCTCATAGGGAGGGATCCAACATCTCTAGCCTCCTTGGGCATTTGCACCTATATGCATATAAAGACACACACACACACACACACACACACACACACACACACACACACACACACACACACACGAGAAATTAAAAATAAAAATCATTGCTATTGGAGAGAACCTGAGTTTGGTTCCCAGACACACACACACACACACACACACACACACACACACACACACACACACACACACACACGAGAAATTAAAAATAAAAATCATTGCTATTGGAGAGAACCTGAGTTTGGTTCCCAGAACCCCCCACATGATGGGTCACAATCATTAGTTCTAGTTCTAGGAAATCTAATGTCCTCTTCTGATCTCTTTAAGCACCAGACACACACACACAGTGCACAGATATACATGCAGGCAAAAACATTCGTATACCTAAAATAAATAAACCTTTAAAAAAATCTTTTAAAAGCTAGAAAGAGAACCAGCTCTACAAAGTTGTTCTCTGGCTTCTACATATATGCTATAACACATGTGTACTATACCCACATATATATCCTACACCTGTATACACACAATGATAATAAATTAAAAAAACCAATTTTTAAACAAAGACCTTTTGATCTATCCCTGGTGTTTTGTGACTAAAGTTGCATCCTTTAATTTTTAAAAATTTTTTATTTCTTTTTGTTTTATGGGAGTTGCTGTTTTGTAACTCCCTGTGTAGATCAGTCTCTTTAATGTTATTTTTAACTCTGTGTATGTATCTTTGTGTCCATTTGTGTACGCAAGTGCAGTATTCATGGAGACTAGAAGACATGCCCATCCCCTAAAGCTGGAGTTACAGACAGATGTGAGCAGTCTAATATGGGTGCTGGAAACAGTACTCAGCTCTATTTTATTTTTTATTAAATAAAACAAGCTGTAGTTCATTCAGGTTGACTTCAAACTCTCAGCAATCCTGTTTTAGACTCTTACGTGCTGAAATGATAGGTATCAGCCACCACATCTGACCATAGTGTGACTTCTAATCTCTAGCTTTTGTGGGAGCTTGCTGAGTTGTTCTGAGTACCTGGTTTTCTATATGCCCTAGTGGGCCTGTCAGCTTCAGTGCTGATGGCTAGCACAGCTTCCTATTCCTGGATTCTTTTTAAGTGAGCATGCAACTTTATATTTTCACTTTCTTACCTTTTTTTCTCTTTTTGTAAAGGGTCATATAGGACATATTTTATGTTCTGTGGGCTCAATGGACTTTGTTACAATCATTCCATTCTGCTGTTACATTGGGAAGAAACCTATAAGGTAGCTTGTGCATTTCAATAAAACTGATATTGATGAAAACAAAGTCTGGATTTGGCCCACGTGACATGAGTTTCCAACCCTGCTTTAGCATACTGTTGAATAATGGCAAATCTGAAGTTGTGCAGATGTTCTAAATCTTTAATATCTGGTTTGGTAGCTGTTAGTGACAGGTAGCTTTTGATTCCTTGAAATGTGTCTAGGCTCCCAAGGGCCTGGGTATTTTCTGTTTTATAATACTTAATGATTAACTTAAGTTACATAGCCACATAGAGTTATTAGCTATTGTATTGGACAGTGTAGCAGCATCTCAGATACAGATTGGGGATACAGTTCAGTTGATAAGAGTACTTGCTCATCATGCAGAAAGCCCTGGGTTCAGTCCCTAGTACAGTATAAACTAGGCATGGTGGTGCACACCTGTAATTGCAACACTTGGGAGATGGAAGACTTAGAAGTTCAAGATCATCTTCAGCAACATAACAGGATGGAGGCTAGCCTGAGCTATATAAGACCATTTCTCAAACAAATAACAAGCTAAATAAACAAACAAAAAACCTGGTTAGTGTTTCTTGTGATTCTAATGGGAATGAAATTCCTGTTGTTCTTAATAGGACAAAATGATGACAGAGAGAACCCTGTTGAAGGAACGTTATCAAGAAGTACTGGACAAGCAGAGGCAGGTGGAGAATCAGCTTCAAGTGCAATTAAAGCAGCTTCAGCAAAGGAGAGAAGAAGAAATGAAGAATCACCAGGTAGTCTGCAAATATTGACATTTGGGAGATGTACCTTACTTGTAGAGTGCTTGCCTAGCATATTCAGCAACCTGGGCTCAATTCCCAGAAGCGCAAGAGAACAAGAAATGAAGAAAAAGAAATTGCAACTCAGATAATTATGTCTCTTCTTTCATATGCAGAATGTAGATTTAAAATTACATATTTATGGCCATGAGTAATGGCATACGCCTTTAATCCCAGCACTCTGAAGACAGACCCAGGTGGAGATCTGTGAGTTTGAGGGTAGTCTGGTTTATATAGCAAGTTCCAGTCCATATGTAGTAAGACAGTATCTAAAAAAAAATTCACCCCCTCGCCTCGAAAAAAAGGGTAGATAGGGGTGTGTGTGTATGTATGTATGTATGTATGTATGTATGTATGTATGTATGTGTTTATGCATACACAAGCATACTACTCATGAGTAAAGTAGCCCTGGCTGTCCTGGAACTCACTCTATAGATCAGGCTGGCTTCAAACTCAGAGGTCTGCCTGCCTCTGCCTCCTAAGTGCTGGGATTAAAGCTGTGCATCACCACCTCCTGAACATAATTTTTTTTTATTCTTCAAAAAACATTCAAGTATTAAAAGAAGCATTGAGAGCATCTTTTCCAGACGCTTCTATATTAGTACAGAGAGAAAAAGGTTATTTATTAATATGTTTTGTTGACGTTATTGACTAGTTAATACTTAATCTCCTATCTCATACAAAAATATCATTTTATTTAGGTTAAATCTACAATTAAAAACTTGAAAAAATAAATTAGTAAGTAAAACCTCAAACACAATAAAAAGATCCAGGTAAGTAATCAAAATAGCATTGTCAAGGGTGAGGTAAAATGAGCTCATTGTGGGCTGTGGGCTGTGGGCTGTGGTGATCATTTTGGAAACTTAGGAAGATATATTAGTTAGGGTTTCTATTGCTATGAAAAGACACCATGACCAAGATGATTTTTATAAAGGAAACATTTAATTGGGGTGGCTTGCTTACAGTTTCAGTCTATTATCCTCATGACCAGGAACGTTTTGGTGTGCAGGTAGATGAGATGCTGGAGCAACGGAGAGTCCTATATCTTGGAGACAACAGGAAGTTGATTGAGTGTCTATTAGTGAAGCTTGAGAAAAGAGATCTCAAAGCCTGTCTCTACTGTGAGACAGTTCCTCTGATAAAACCACACCTACTCCATCAAGGCTGTACCTCCTAATAGTGCTACTCCCTTTGGGGGCCATTTTCTTTTAAACAACTACAGAAGACCTGTCAGTTAAAACTGTAAATACATAGTAAATAAGTTGACCAAGCAGTCTTATTCTAGTGTATGAATATGTAGATATAGAGAATGTTTATTGCGGTATTGCTTAAAAACTTAAGTGGCACATTCCTGTAATCCAATTCTCTGGTGCAGAGGCAGAAACATGAGGAGTTCAAGGGTGTCTTTAGCTACAAAATGAGCCAGCCTGGACTACAGGCTATTTCAACCACCTACCACCCCCCTGCCCCCCATTAGATTAGGTTGGAAAAATAGTTTCAAAAAAGTTTCAGTTAGTCTGATAAATTTTTAACAGAATGATTAGATAGCCTGGAAATGTCCATATTTAGTTATATCTGTAGCTATTGACATAGTGTGGTTATGCCGAGCAGAAAAGACCAAGATGCAAAATGAATATAAAATGGCCTCAAAAAAAAAGGCCTCACTAGAAATGGAAAAATGGACCCTGTGCTGGCTTTCCAGGACCACCCAAACATCAGTGAACAAAATGTGAAAACATAACACATCGATTACTGTTATGGACAGAGTTGTATGAAACAGGATAATTGTATTGTTTGACTTCTTATAAATGTACAAAAACATACACGTATTTGTTCCTGTTATATAGTAATACAGCTAATATCTTAGTTAGGATTACTATTGTTGTTATGAAACACCATGACCAAAAAGCAAGTTAGAGAAGAAAGGGTTTATTTGGCTTACATTTCCATATCACTGTTCATCATCAAAGGAAGTATTAAAAAAAAAAAAAAAAAAAAAAAAAAACTCACACAGGGCAGGAACCTGGAAGCAGGAGCTGATGCAGAGACCATAGAGGGAAGCTGCTCATTGGTGTGTTCCATATCAGTCTGCTTTCTTATAGAACCCAGGACCAGCAGCCCAGGGATGGCCCCACTCACAATGGACTGAGCCCTTCCCCATCAGTCACTAAATTAAGAAAATGCCTTCCAGGCCTGCCTACAGCCTAATCTTATGGAGGCATTTTCTTAATTTAGGTTCTCTCCTCTCAGGTGACTTTAGCTTGTTTCAAGTTGACATAAAACTATCTAGCACAGCAAACAAACAGAAAATTCCACTTCTAGTAGTTCAGAACTATAAGAAGTCAAGAGCATATTTGTTGGATGTGGCAAATTCCCACCTGAAGCAAAAATGCCTGTCTCAGCATTCTCAACAGATCTTTGTTCAGTCTTTACTTGAGTTTTGCTATACAAGCCATTACATTTCTTTTAAAAATATATTGTGTGTGTGTTCGTATATACACATCATGTGTACACATGCAAGTGTTACACATGCAAGTGTGATGCAGATATGTGCACGTGTGTGTAGGTCAGAAGTCAACTTTGAGGTATTATTCCTTAGGCTCTTTCCACTTTGTATTTTGAGAAAGAATCTCTCATTTGGACTTAGAACTAGGCTGACTGTCCAGCAAGCTCCAAGATCCCCTCATTTCTTCCTTTCTAGAGCTGGGAATACAAGGGCATGCCACCACGCCTGACTGTGTTATGTGAGTTCTAGGACTTGAACTCATCATTATGTCTATATGGCAAGTACTTTAATGATTGAGGTCTTCCTAGTTTCACACTCCATTTTATTAAAAATGATTTTATTTTATGCATATGGGTGTTTTACATTTATGTATCCACTTGTATATATCCATTATGTATACACTTGTACCCAGTACTTTGGGAGGCCAGAAAAGGGCATCAGTTCCTCTGGAACTGAGGTTACAGAGAGCTGTAAGCCAGTGTGTGGGTATTGGGTATTGAACCTGAGTCTTCTGGAAAAACAGCCAGAGCTCTTAACTGCTGAGCCATCTGTCCAGCCCCCACATTCCATTTTTCAGTGATTCATAGAACTATCCTGTTGAGTCGAAGTCTGTGTTTATGTAAGTTTCTTCTGGGGGCTTGGCTTTTACATCAGTAATTTATGGAGTTGATTCTTCCAGTTCTGTTTGATTACAATAAGTCAGCATATGAATTTATAATCATTGAAATAAACAGTCAGGGTGGGACTAGTGGATCAACGGCATCTGCTGCTAGGAAGCTGAGAGAGGATGATTGTGGCAAGTTTGAGGCCAGCCTGGGCTTCTATGTCTGAAGTAAACTCCAGTCTAGGATACATAGTAAAACCATGTTTCAAAAGACCAAAAACACTGAGCAAGGTAATACATATTTGTAATCCAAATAAGTGGAAGTGGATTCAAGGGGATCAGTTCAAGGCCAGCTTTGTCGACAAATTGAGTTTAAGCCCAGCCCAGGTTATGTAAGACCCTATCTGAAAAACCAAACCAAACCAGGACAAAAAAACTATCAGGGCTGGCTGGTTGTGTAACTCAGAGATAGAGTGCTTGTCTATCATGTACCAGGCTCTTGTTTAGAACCCTAACACCACACACACACACAGAAAATAAACTTTCAGATTTAAACAAACAAAAACCTAAAACACCAAAAACTAACATTTCCTTCTGTATTTGTATGACTGTCATTGTGTGGCATTTAGGAGATACTAAAGGCAATTCAGGATGTGACCTTAAAGCGGGAAGAAACCAAGAAGAAGATAGAGAAAGAAAAGAAGGAGTTCTTGCAAAAGGAGCAGGACCTGAAAGCAGAAATTGAGAAGCTCTGTGAGAAGGGCAGAAGGTAACCGCTGCTGCTGAAAGTAGATCCTGTGCACACAGGGCCAGGCCTTTGTTTTCATTTGAGAAAGGAACACACGACACACGTTCGAATTCTCCAGTGACTTCACATTCTCAGTACCCTATATTACACAAAATAAGGAAGTTCAGAGAGTTGGTACTGCTCTGAAATGATAATTAAATGCTGGGATTTCATTCCAGGCTCAGTCCCCAGCATGTCTTCTTCTCAAAAAAAGAAGTCACACTGTTAACTAGCTGTATTCCAAGTATGATCATAACTTTTAAATTTTTATTTAAACTGTAACCTGTGTATTTGTGTCTATGTATGTCTGTCTGTCTGTGTGTTCTGGAATTACTACACAGAAGTATTGCATGCTCAGTTTTAGGAAACTAGGGATCCAAACTCAGGTTGTTATACATGCATAACAAATATTTTGCAATGAGCTTCTGCACAGCCCCATGATCAAGATTTCTATGTTATTCTAAACCTATTTCCTTTGCTTTATATGCTGAGGGTCTTTTTTTTTTTTTTTTTTTCCTTGAGAACCTCAGGTTGTGGGAATGTTTTGAATGGTTTTACTGTTTGGCACCACGAGTGGTAACCTATACACCATTTATGAAAGAATTATCTAGGGATTATGTCCTCTTTCTAATATTGTAACAAGAGCAAGGTGGGCCTTAAATCTGGATAAACTTGAGAATTCACAATTGTGAATTCTATGATGTTATTTAAAGGCTGCTGACATTCATTTTATTCATTATTTATTGAGAAAAACTTGGCTGTTGTAAATATATATGATGCTAAGTCAAAAATAAGTAGTAAGCTCACTTACTGATTCATTTTCCAAAGTGAGAGACCTTAACTATGGCACCTCCACATTCAAAAGAATATTAGGGAGAGGGTCTGGAAGGTAGCCAGTTCTGTTGAGAATCTGGTGAATGATTAGGAGGTGGGTCACAATGATCATTCTCAAACAGTTTTGTAGAATCTATTCAGAGCCGAACATCGTCTTTCACATGTTGCTAGTGATTATAACAGCTAGCACCCCCATCTTTTGGCAGCATTGGCCCTGGCACAGTTTTCTCAGTTGATCAGGGAAGATGAGATACAGACATAGACAGGTAGCAACTCATCATGGGATATCTTAACGAACAGAAATAAGTCTATGATTCTGTCTAAGCCTGTGGCAAATTACCTATAACTGTGGACTTTACACTTTTGTGTGTTTGTTTTTTGTTTGTCAAAACAGGGTTTCTCTGTGTAGCTTTGGAGCCTGTCCTAGAATTTGCTTTGTAGATCAGGCTGGCCTCGAACTCACAAAGATCCACCACCTCTGCCTTCCGAGTGTAGACAGAGTGTGCCACCACTACCTGGCTGACTCTACACGCTTCATGTACCTTTTCCCTCTAATTGAACAGCTCTAAGTAATTAATGCTAACAGTGTTATTACTCATGATCTTGAAGATTCAGGTTTTTTTTTTATTTGTTTATTTGAGGTAGATCCTCAATATGTTGCTCAGAGTAGGTACCATCTTTCTGCCTTCCTTATTACTTGCTTGAATTGCAGTCTCAAATTCACTATGTCCTGGCCCCTTATAAATAATAATTAACAAGGGCTATAAATAATATTTTTGTATCTGCTTTGTTTATTAGTATTCACTGAGCCAGAAATTAAGGCAAAAATATATTTATGTGCTGATTTATTTTAAGATAAAACTTGTGTGTTAACATAAATAGCATGTTTTTTATGGGGCCAGTTATATTCAAACTACCACAAAAGATTAAGTCAGTTTATTTAGAAGAATAGCATTATTTAGATGCTCATAAATCTCTTTAGTGAAAAAAATCCATAATTTTTCTAAATTTAATTGATTGTAAATGTTTTTGTTGAAGTCTGGAGAAAATTGCAGTACATAGGTGAGTTAGAAGAGCAGGGGGTGTTTTTATAGCTCTTAAGTATAATTGTGAGTGTTCTTTGATATTCTAAAGGTTTCAAATGATCTGTTAAAAGTTAGCTTTGAAGTAGAACTTTAAACTACCTCGATAAACTTTTGAACTGCTATATTAAAATCTGTTAGGGGGTGTGTGGGGTTGGGTGAGGTGGTGGTTGTAAGGATTAGGGTAAGCTCCTCACATATGCTATGATGTATGTGTGTGAATATAACACTGGGCTATATTCCCAGCCTACTTTTGTTAGTTTGGGACAGGCTGTCTGTTGATAAGGCTGGCTTTAAACTTAACTCTGTAACCCAGGCAAACATTGAACTTGAGACTCCCCAGCTTCATCCTCTAGAGTAGCTGGTATTACATCCTTGTGCCACCAGGCCTGCCTAAAATCTGATGGTTTTGCTTATGTTGTTTTGTTGTGCTTTTTGAGACAGTATCTTACTTTGAAGTCCTGGCTGGCTTGGAACTTGCTGTGTAGACTGATCTGGCCTTAAACTTTCAGCATACCTGCCTCTGCCTCCAGAGTGCTAGTATTACAGGCATGTCCTACAATATCTTGAAGCTTGAATGGATCTTTTACCTATTTTGTTAAAGGGAAGAAAAACTTTTCTTGTACCATTTTAGGGTTAGCAAATTAAATTCCCAGATCAGTAAGAAGAAAAAAGTTTATTTGTCTGTGCAACGTGTCTACACAAAGAAGACCTACTAGAGACCAGTAACTTAAATGTATTAAAATTTGAGGCTCTGTGTCCTCTTGAGGCAAAGATAAGAGGGAAGAAAGTACTTATAGGAAAATTTTTTTGTTGTTTTTGTTTTTTTTGTTTTTGTTTTTTGTTTGTTTGTTATGTTTTTTGAAACAGGATTTGTCTGTGTAACTTTGGAGCCTGTCGTGGAACTAGCTCTTGTAGACCAGGCTGGTCTCAAACTCACAGAAATCCACCTGCCTCTGCCTTCCAAGTGCTGAGACTGAAGGCATGCACCACCACTGCCTGGCTATAGGAAAACATTTTATTTTATTTTATTTTTGGTTTTTCAAGGCAGGGTTTCGCTGTGTAACATGTTCTCCTGGAATTCATTCTGTAGACCAGGCTGCTCTTGAACTCACAGAGATCTGCCCACCTCTGCCTCCTGAGTGCTGGAATTAAAGGCTTGCCCTACCACTGCCTGGTAGGAAAACAATCTTTTGGGGAGAGAGGGGTGTGTTACTTAGTGTTGCTATTGCTGTGATGTAACACCATGACCAAAAGCAACTTGGAGAGGAAAGGGTTTATTTCACTCACTATTCCATATCATTCATCATCAAAAGCTGTGATGACAGGGACTTAATTAAGCAGGGGAGGAACCTGGAGGCAGAAGCTGATGCAGAGGTCATGGAGGGGGGCTGCTTACAGGCTTGCTCCCCATGGCTTGCTCAGCCTGCTTTCTTATATTACCCAGGACCACCAACCCAGGGATGGTACCACCCACAAGGCATTTACTCAGTTGAAATTACATCTTTCAAATAACTTTAGCTTGTGTCAAGTTGACATAAATTAGCCATCACTGTGTGTGTGTGTGTGTGTGTGTGTGTGTGTGTGTGTGAGAGAGAGAGAGAGAGAGAGAGAGAGAGAGAGAGAGAGAGAGAGAGAGAGGAAGAAGAGAGAGAACAAACACACAAGCTTGGATGTCATTCCGGGAACATCACCCACCTCCCTTGAGAGAGGGTCTTTTCTTGGCCTAGAGTTCAGTAATTAGGCTAGACTGGCTAGCCAGTGAGTACCAGTGATCTACTGTCTCCCCTGCCCAGTGTTGGGATCACAAATGAGTACTCCTACCATTTGAGGAGGCTCAGCACTTTTATGTGGGTTCTGCAGATTAAACTCAGCTCTTTGAGCTTTCAAGGCAAGTACTTTACCAGTTGTGTCATCCCTATAGTCCCCAAAGGATTCCCTGGAGAGGGGTGAGAAAGATCATTTAGAGAACATTTGTGGAAATAAAATGAGCTTTCAGTAGATGAGAATGTCTGTGAACTGGGGAGGTGGTTTAGTCAGTAAAGTTCCTACTATGCAAGCAAGCATGTGGACCTGAGTTGAGATTTTCAGCAGCTACTAAAAGCCAGGAATGGCAGCACACATCTGTAACCCCAACACTGGGAATGGGAGACAGTGGGACAAGAAGGACCCTGGAGCTCATTGACCAGCTAATCTAGACAAATTGATAAGCTCCACGGTTTCCTGTGTGAACACAAGAAATGAGTATGGACCTCCAGTACCCATGTGAAAAGTTGGCATGGCCATTATCATCTCTATAACTCTCACACTGGTGGTGCAGAGAGAGGCAGATCCCTGGAGCTATCCAGCTACCTAGTGTAGCTAATCTTTGAGATATAGGTTCAGTCAAGAGACCCTGTCTCAAAAAATAACATAGTGGGAAGTAGAGAAAGACACATGCTGTCTACCTCTGGTCCCCACATGTACTGGGAGGAGGCTTGTTAGATGGCTCCTATCCTCCCTCTGGGAGATCACTATGACATTTTGGCTCTCTACAAATGGCTGCTTTGGCTCTAATAAGGGAAATTTCAAGAGCTCCCTGCCCCCACCACCACACCCTCCACACCCCCACACCCTCCCACCCCACAACTATGGAATCTCAGTGTCTTCTTAAAATAATCTTTATACCCATTGAGTGGATCCTATAGTTATAGTTTGATAACATAATGCATAATTTATTAAATATTGGCCCAACATTTTTGTAGATCTTCCAAGTGTTGATACTGTATCCCTCCAGGCCAGAAGAAGGCATCAGATCTCATTACGGATGGTTATGAACCATCATCTGGTTGCTGGGAATTAAACTCAGGACCTCTGGAAGAGCAGCCAGTGCGCTTAACCTCTGAACCATCTCTCCAGCCCCAATACAGTATTTTATACAAAAATTTAAAATCTGGGACTGGAGTGATAGAACAGTTAAGAGCACTTGCTGCTCTTGCAGAGAACCCAGGTTAAATTTCCAGCTCCCACATAGGGTGGTTCATGACTGCCTATAGCTCCAGCTTCAGGAATCCAACAACCTCTTTGGGCCTCACACACATAACATACACAGAGATACATACATATGAAAAAAATAAAGCTTAAAAATCAAACAGCTCCTTCACCAAAAGGGAAAATTGCTGAAATCAGAAGAATACAGAAGCATGTATTTATTAGTTATAAGAGAGGATACTGTCACATGTCATGTATTCTCAGGAAAACTCCAGTATCAGCTCATTGAAGAATGAAAAAAATAAGTACCATTTATCTGTCCTTTCCTTCCTTTTTATTTGTTTATTTATTTTGATTTTTTATGAGTTTCTCTGATTAGCCATGGCAGTCCTGTAACTCACCTGTAGACCAGATTGGCCTCAAACTCAGAAATTCATTCTACCTCTGCCTCCTGAGTACTGGGATTAAAGGTGTATGCCGCCACCACCCTCCCACTCCCTTCCTCCCTCCCTTCTGTCAAGCTTACAAATTTAAGCTTAAAGGTGTATGTAGCTCCTTGGAGTAGGCCTTTGATGTGTTTGGGGACCCTGGCCTACTATCTGAAAGGTGCAGTCCTATCCCCAGGGCTTCTGGCCAAGCAGTGCAGAGTAGTGAGCCTGGGATGAACCAGGTAACCACAGTTCCAGAGCCTGGGGCTTCCCCAGCTTTTCTTCTTCTCACATCTAATTGCATCACTTGTCATTAACCTGCATTAGTCACACACAGAGATGCGGCTGTGGCATAATTTATAGTTATGAAATTGAAAATAACAAGGAAGGGGCTGGAGAACAGCTCTACAGTCAAGAGCACTGGTTTTTCTCCCAGAGGACTGACATAGCACCTTTGTTATTCCAGTCCCAGGGCATCTGCCACCCTATTCTGGCCTCCAAAGACACTTCATGCACATTCACACAGGCATACATACAGGCAAAACATCTATACACACTGGTATGCACATGCCCACAATAAAGATTAAAGTTCATGTAGTCATCTAGATTTAAAAAAATAATAATGAGATTCTTTTTGTTTATGTTTTTTTTTTTTTTTTCTTTTGAGATAGGCTGGCTTCAAACTCACAGAGATACACTGCCTCTGCCTCCCTAGTGCTAGGACTAAAGGCATGTGCCACCATGGCCTGACTAAAGACATGTGCCACCATGGCCTGACAACAAAGAAATTCTTCGGTCAGTAATGATAGACCTGCATAATGGACAGACATTTTGCTATATATTTAAAAAAAACTTAGTTTTTGTTTTTAATTTTTTTATTATTATTTTGTTAATCTAGGTTGGTCTGTAACTCAGTGCAATCCATCTGACTTAGCCTTCCAGAACGAGGGTTATAGGCATGAACTACCATCCATGCCTAGCTAGGTTTGGATTCTAAGAGAGATTCCTTTCCTGCACTAGGTGACTTTATTTGAGCGAGTGGAGAAGTGGACATTTTACTTGATGGACCTGTTTGCAGTTTAGACTACCCTATATATCGTTTGTCTGTCTCTGGAGTCTCTTCATGTAGTAGTCCCCACAGAACCAGTCAGGCTTTCCTTTTGTTTTGGTTGCTCAGCAAACTTTCATTTCCTTCCTTAATCTTGTTCTTGGCTTCTCACTGTACAGAGAGGTGTGGGAAATGGAACTGGATAGACTCAAGACTCAGGATGGTGAAATCAATCGGAATATTATGGAAGAGACAGAGCGGGCCTGGAAGGCTGAGGTAGGAAGCGACAATGTCTTCAAAGACTTGGTCTTGTGCTCTCAGGTGCTGTACAGTTTTGATAGAGTACTAAAAGCCTGAAGGCATTTGTTTTAACTACAGATAGTTTGTGTTTATAAAGCTTTCTTTCTCTCTCTCTCTCCTGTCTACCCCCTCCTGAATCTCTCTCTCTCTCTCTCTCTCTCTCTCTCTCTCTCTCTCTCTCTGTGTGTGTGTGTGTCTGTGTATGTGCCCGCATGCATGCATGCACAAACATGTACATGCATGGATGTCTGCATGCATGGATTCCTTAGATCCTGTCACTGGAGAGCCGGAAGGAGTTGCTGGTGTTGAAACTGGAAGAAGCAGAGAAAGAAGCAGAGCTGCATCTGACTTACCTCAAGTAGGTATCTCCCTCTTAAGGCCTAGGCTAGCAGGCCTGGCTCACATTTGTCTTCATAGGACTCTAAGGCCATCTCTGTGTGTGCATGTATAATTGTTCAAGATTTCCCTTCCATGTTCTGCACTTTCTCACTCTTTCCTCCTTTTATAGCTTTGCACTTTTTACCATTATACTATCTGTTAAAATAACAAAGCATAATATATGTCTTTGGAGCCTTGTTTCTTCCGTGATTATTTCTCCTCTGTCTGTCACAGAACTTGGAGGATTCCTATAGCATTTGAAGCAGATAAGAACCCTCTCTGGCTGATTCTTTCTTAAATATTTGGCTTAAAAGATGATGACATGAACCAGGCATGGCGGTACTTTGCTATAATCCCAGTACTTTAGAGTCTGAGGCAACTGGATTGAAAGTTCCAGGCCAGGGATACCCTGTCTTCAAATAGAAAGGTGATATCATTTATGCTCTAGCACTTGCTCCCACCTCTTTTTTCAAGGACCACTATCCAAAAGCAGTGTCTCAGGGTGTAACTGGAGTTCAGGGTAAAAGGCCAGGCTCTGTCAACCCTAGCAGACTGTGCTTAGTCATTCATCTCAGTATACCAGTTAAAGAAATCAGTAGTGATGAAAAGCAGAAAACATGTAATCAGTGTTGCCACATTGGAAAGAACTGATAGTTGCAGAGATAACAAAACTATCTTTGGGTTGATCTGTTTATATAGGTTTTAAAGTGACTTTTTACTTATATTTATGTATGTATCTTTGAATGTTTGTATGCACATGTGTACAGGTACCTATCAGATTCACCACAGTTGGAGTTATAAGCAGTAATGTGATGCTCAATGTGGATGTTAGAAACCAAACTTTATTCCTCTGCAAGCACTGTTAACTGCTGAGCCATCATCACTCTAGTCCTAGGGTTTTAAGATGGGATTTTGTGTAGTCTAGGCTGGCCTGGAACATTTGATCCTTCTGCCTTTACCTTTAAAATGTTTGACTTACAGGCAAACACCACCACATGGCACAGAACTTCAGGTTTAAATAGAGGAAATGGGACAAGGGGCAGGAGAGGTAAATAATTAACCATTCTGGGTCAAGATATAGTCTTATTGATGCTTGTCTCAGTTGTTCATCTGTGAGGTGATCAGAAGAAGTCCTATTATTAGCTGTCACCACTTGAGGGCCTTGGTCTGATTCCCACCAGATGACCACTTCTACTCATGGATAATTATCCTCATCTGGAGGTGGCTGTTCTGTTACAAGAAAACCGCCAGCCTATTCTCACTGCCACGCCAGCCCCAAATAACACACAGAGACGCTGTATTAGATATAATGATGTTGGCCTGTTACTAGTGTTTCTTATTGGCTAGCTCTGTCTTAAATATTAACCCATTTCTATCAATCTAAGTATGATCTTATCTTAACAGAGAGAGGGTCAGGGGTTCTACCCTGTTGGTGCTACATCTTAAATCTCCTCCCTACTGCTTTCCACATCCTCCTTGTCTCCTAGTCCCACCTATCTTGCTTTCCTACTGGCCAACAGTGCTTTATTCATTAACCAGTAAGAGAAATATTTACAGAATGACATCTCCCATCACTGTTCCTTAGAAGTCTTGTTCTTCCTGGAATCAAAAGTGACTGCAATTTTAGGATAGTTGTTTTTGTGTCATCATCATCAAAAGGGGAGGGTAAAGATTAGATAAGCGATAAAGAGTAACATGAGTGAGGTAAGTAACATGCCTATAGAGAGTCAAGCATATGCTGACCCAAAGAGGAGAACACACACAAAATGGAGGCAGAAGTGCTAGGCTGCCATCTTACTTTTAATACTTTGAGGAACCAAGTGTGGAGCCAGTGCTTTTTAGCACAAACTCTTTCTTTCTTCCTTTCTGTCTTTCTTTCCTTCTTTTTTTTTTCTTAAGATTTTATTTATTTATTATATATATAGTATTCTGTCTACATGTAACCCTGCATGCTAGATGAAGGGCACCAGATCTCATTACAGATGGTTGTGAGCCACCATGTGGTTGCTGGGAATTGAACTCAGGACCTCTGGAGGAGCAGCCAGTGCTCTTAATTGATGAGCTATCTCTTCAGCCCTACAAACTATTTCTTTCTTTCTTTCTTTCTTTTTTTTTTATTTAATTTATTATTTTACATGTCGATCCCAGTTCCCTCTCCCTCTCTCCCTCCCTTTTACCCTCTCTGCCCCCTGACATGACCACCCTCCGCCCACAAACTATTTCTAAGTATGTATTTTATGTGAATTAAGGATTGACTGTAAAAAAAAAAAAAAAAAGCCCGGTGGTGGTATCTCAAGCCTTTAATCCCAGCACACCGAAGGCAGAGGCAGGCGGACCTCTGTAAGTTCAAGGCTAGCCTAGTCTACAGACTGAGTGCCAGGACTGGCTCCAAAGCTACACAGAGAAACCCTGTCTTGAAAAACCAAGAGAAGAAGAAAAAAAAAAAAAAAAGAATTGATTGTTGTTGCCCAGGGCAAGGTAATTCCAGCACTTGGGAGGCAGAGGCAAGAAGATCTCTGTGAGTTCCAGGACAGCCAGGGTTACACTATGAAACCCAGTCTCAAAACAAAACAACAAAAAATTTTAATTGTTGTGTTTTGAATTCTGTAAATTCTGTTTCTTGAAAGGTCAACTCCTCCAACACTGGAGACAGTTCGTTCCAAACAGGAGTGGGAGACAAGACTGAATGGAGTTCGGATAATGAAAAAGAATGTTCGGGTAAGTTCAGTTAAGAGTGATGGTTCAATCAGCCCCAGTTTGTGCTTAACCTCTCCTGTCAGTAGGTTGGTGGGTAGCCTTTTGTTTACTGCACAGGGTGCTTTCTCTTGAGGTTTGCTCTGCCTGGCAGTAAAGGACAATCCTTTTCTTCCTTTTGTTCCAGGACCAGTTTAACAGTCACATCCAGCTAGTGAGGAATGGAGCCAAGCTAAGCAGCCTTCCTCAGATCCCTACCCCGACTTTGCCTCCACCTCCCTCAGAGGTAAGAGTGCTGACTTTGAGGACTCCACTTTCTGTGTAGACAAAGGCAGAGAGTTGTCTACTTGTTCTGTTTATGAGGATGTTGGGCCATCCCTATTGAGTGTAGGAATATAAGAGATTCTCATTGATTTCTGCCACAGTTTTCTCTCCTGAAATATTTTTGTTGTTTGTTTTTGTTTTTTCAAGATAGGGTTTCTGTGTAGTCTTGGCTGTTCTGGAACTCACTCTGTAAACCAGGCTGGCCCTGAACTCGCTGAGATCCACTTGTCTCTGCCTCCCGAGTACTGGGATTAAAGGCGTGTGTCACTATCTCCTGGCTTCTAAAAAAATTTTTTGTCTATGTTTATATATGTGTGCTTGTATGTGTGCACATGTGTGTGTATGTGTGTGTGTTCCTGTGCACTTAGGCCAGAGACCAATTTTAGGTTATTCTCTACCTTTTTTTTTTTTTTTTTTTTTTTGAGACTAGCTTGGAACTCATTTAGACCTAGCAGTCCTCAAATTCAGAGATCTGCCTTTCTCTTCCTCTTTAGTGCTGGAATTAAAGACATGTATCACCACACCCACCCAGCCTGTCTACCTTATTTCTGAAACAGGGTCTCTCACTGCACCTAGAGCTGTCAGGGATTGGCAAAACTGGCTGGCCACTGTAGGGATCTGCTTGTCTGTGTTCCCACAGCATTAGGGTTACAGATACATGCCCCTCTCGGCTTTTATGTGGCTATTGGGATGTGAACTCAGGACTTTACACTTGCAAGGCAGGTACCTTACCAACTGAACCATCTCCTTATCCCTTGCTCCAGTTCCTAATCTTTTCTCCCCATCTCTTTTGTCCTCCACTTCTTCCCCTTTGCAGGCAGATTTCATGCTTCAAGTATTTCAGCCCAGTCCCTCTCTGGCCCCTCGGATGCCCTTCTCTATTGGGCAGGTCACAATGCCTATGGTTATGCCCAGTGCAGATCCTCGTTCTTTGTCTTTTCCAATCTTGAACCCTGCCCTTTCCCAGTCCAACCAACCATCCCCGCCTCTTCCTGGCTCACATGGGAGAAATAGCCCTGGCTTGGGGTCTCTGGTCAGCCCTCATGGTCCACACATGCCTCCTGCTGCCTCCATCCCGCCTCCCCCAGGCTTGGGCGGTATTAAAGCTTCTACTGAAACTCCCCGGCCCCAACCAGTAGACAAACTGGAGAAGATCCTGGAGAAGCTGCTGACTCGGTTCCCACAGTGCAATAAGTAAGTGTTGTTAAGGATCAGTTTAGGTATCTGCCAGATCAATACTTGTGGTTTGACATAGGGAGGTTATGTGGATGTTTCCCATAAAGACTGATCTTCTTTCCTTCAACATTGTTCTTTCTTAGGGCCCAGATGACCAACATTCTTCAGCAGATCAAGACAGCACGTACCACCATGGCAGGCCTGACCATGGAGGAATTAATCCAGCTGGTAGCTGCACGGCTGGCAGAGCATGAACGGGTGGCAGGTACTCAGGTAAGAGGAGCTACAGGGAGAGAATTTAGATCTACAGAGAGGTTGAGGAAGAAGCCAACTTCAGAAAAACTGGGAGAAGCATCAGAGCAAAGGGTATCTGGTTTGTTCTTTTCATTGTTAAAGTGAGTGATTGTGTGTGTGTGTTTGTGTGTTTGTATTAAATTTATTATTGTGTGTATATGTGTGTTTGTATTAAATTTATTATTGTGTGTGTATGTGTGTGTGTTTGTATGTGAGAGAGATTGTTTTCACGGGTACATGTGTGGAGTTCAAGGACAACTTGTGGGAGTCCATCTTCTATCATGTGAGTCCCAGGAATTGAACTCGGGTCATTAGGCTTTCATACAAGCACCTTTACCCATTGAGCCATCCTGCTGGCCCCAGCTTCTTTAATACATGCTCTGTTGCTCAGACTCTTCCCTCACTCTGAAATTATTTCTACCCACAGCCACTTGGTCGGATCCGGGCTTTGTACCCTGCTCCTCTGGCCCAAATCAGTACCCCAATGTTCTTGCCTTCTGCCCAAGTTTCATACCCTGGAAGGTCTTCACATGTAAGACTCTTTTCTTTTAACACTGGGATGTGGAGAAGCACAGGGTGAGGAGGGAGTGGGTTACAGGTAAGAATGTTAGAGGAAACCATTATCTCCACAGCAGGGTTGTTTGCAGCCCTACTGGGAACATGCTGCAAATACTTTAGGCAAGAATATAGGTTAGGACTTGTATTTTTTTTTTCACTGAGGAATAGTTTTGCTCCGTGGAACTAATTGATGGAGTCATGGGCATAGCAGGCAAGGTGACCTGGAGGTTAGCTAGCTGTGACCAGCTTTCTTGTCCCACAGGCTCCACCCACCTGTAAGTTGTGTCTCATGTGTCAGAAACTTGTCCAGCCCAGTGAGCTGCACCCGATGGCTTGCACCCATGCGCTGCACAAGGAGGTAGGCATTGCTTATCATTCTTGTACTCTGCTTTCTGACAGAGTCAGAGGTCATTTTTTTGCAAAATTTTACTAGGTTAATTCATTACCATCATTGATATTTAGTCATAAAGTTTTCAGTCATTTGTGAACTCACCATCAGTAGAGTTCAGAATGCCAGTTTAGAATGTTGTAGCTTTTTATCCCATTCTCTGTAGGTTACTAATAAGCAATTCATAGTTAAACTCTGATAATCTCTTTTCTTGGGTATGCTTTGTTTTAGCTGAGAGGAGTGGTAGGGCCTGACTATGAGATTAGTAACTCCATTAACAGAATGAAGGCCTGAGTATACTCTTCACTTACTGACTCACAAGTGACTCCTGCTAACAGCAGGGTGATTCTTTCTTAACCAGTTTGTTTTGTTCATTTTGTTTTTCCAAGAAGCAAAAACAGTATTAACATCTAAGTTGTTTTAACTCCTTATGTAGGTAAGGATGGCCTTGAACTTCTGATCCTCTTGCCCCCCCCATCTCCTAAGGTTATAGGTGTGTGTCACCATACTTGGTGTATGTGGTGTTGTAGATCAAACCACGGCTTTCAGCATGCTAGATAGGCACTCATCCCAGCACCTACATTCTAGATAAGACAAAGCCCCAAAGGCACACACTCATACGTGGAGTAAATATATTTTTTTAATGGTGGAAAAAGACACCTATGGTTAACCCTGGATTCCACAAACATATGCACATGCACTAACATGTTTTCATACTAACAAGTGCGTATAACACATAACATGAAGAGAGAGACCACTGCTAGTCCATCTGGCCCTTGTGAGAACTTTTGAGTGTTAGATCTTTTCATCTTTAATGCCACTCTCTGCTAACTTTACTTTGGTTTCCCAGACAAGTCTGAGGTATATGTGTGTTTCTTTCTTTCCAGTGTATCAAATTCTGGGCCCAGACCAACACAAATGATACTTGTCCCTTTTGCCCAACTCTTAAATGATGGACCCGACCGAGAAGGAAGAAGAGGAGAAACCGATGTGAACAGGAAACGCGGGTTCAAGATTTCTAAAACTCTATATTTATACAGTGACATATACTCATGCTGTGTACATTTTTATTATATAGGTAATGTGTGTATAGAAAGTCTGTATTCAAATGTTCGTAATGAAAGTATGTATATAGTGCAGATACACCTTGTTCCCCCTCATCTTGCAGTTCTTTTTGGGGTTGCAGACTGTAGGGAATATGATGTTTAATTTGACCTTGAAATCATGATCCCTGCATAGGACTGTTGTCTAACCCATCTAGGAAGCTGCTGTTGCTCTAAGGCCATCCTGCTTGGTTTGGCTCAGCCTCTAGTCCATTTTTGTAAGGCTCATGTATGCAGAATTGAAGCCTGGTGCTCACCTGCTGTCCAACCAGATGCCTTGCTTTGCAGGGGCCTCCAGAAAGCTTGGTGTTGTTTTAGCCACTCCATTCCAGTGATAAAATGTTACTGATTGAGGGGAAAAAAATTTAACTCTGATAGTATGATTTTTCATTGAACATTTTACTGTGTTAATGATCATTATTTATACATTGATATCATGTATACAGGATATTCTGTTTTATGTCAGAAAAATCCAAGAACAACATAATTAAGTCCCATTTCTCCCAGCATCTTCTGTCTACTCTATTTCCTGGATAGAAAAGCACAATTCACAGATTTTCCCCTGGGCCTAGCCACCATCCCCTGTTGCCACTGGCTTGGCCTCCACTAAGCACTGACAGGCCAGTCTTGCAAAGTGCTCACCCTTCCCATTCCCCTGGTCTCCTGATCTAGCTATTCTCTACCCCCAAAGGTTAAGGCAGTTGGTTCACAAAAAAGTTGTTTAGTGACCTTGGGTGAGCTCCAGACAGGCACTGGGGTGAGATGTCTATGCAAAATTATTTGCAGAATAATCATGGGATGTTAGATTTTCACTTGTGAAGCAAGAAAGCCATGGGGGCACATTCCCTGTCTAGGATAAGATGAAGACAAAGTGAGATGAAGGGGGGGGGGGATTTGACAGTCACAAACCATGTTTTACAGATTCCCATCTGGAGTGAGATGGTTTCCACCTCTGCTTACTGAGTACTTCTGTTTTTTATGCCTGGGATGACTGTGGCTTAGAGAACCTTGAGTCCTTTTCAGTATTACTTCTATAGCAAATGACTTTAATTACCTTCCCTTTTAAAAGTACACAAGTGTTAATCAAGGAAAAAGAAATTGGATCTGGGGGAAGGGCAACATTATGTTACCAACAATTGATGTTTTCCCATTCTGGGACTATGAAATGCTTGTTGAATCTAGTAATTTGTATTAGGATAGCAAAGACTTTCTCCTTTCTGAGCTAACTAAATTCTCTTTTGTTTGTTTGTGTGTTTGTTTTTTTTTTTTTGTTTTGTTTTGTTTTGTTTTTCTTCCCTGCCTATGAGCTCATGGATGAATTCTTTTCTCTTGCCTTATTTGTCCAGGTTGATTGACAAGCATATTTAGGGAACTGGACTTCCCAGGATTACCTTGGCATCTTAAAAGGGGAATGGAATGGCCTGAGTACTCAACCTTTTAGAGGTCAGGTGACCTACTTTCTTTGGTTAATTAAGTACTTTTGTCTTCTTGTCTCCTGTTTGGTACTGTCTTGAACAGAAGAAGTGACAAGATGGAAGACAATTTCCTTTGAATTTTTCAAGTGGGGGATTCGTTTTCTGTCTTATAATCTTAAGATTGTTCTCTCCCTTTAACTGTGCAACAGCCTGGCATTAGCTGTGTAGTACCTTTCAGTGTCCCCTGAAAACTGTGAACTGGAAGTGACTATAAAGAATATTGTGTAGCCAGACATAATGGTACAAGCCTGTAATCATGGTATTTGGCAGGTGAATGCAGGAGGGTTGGGAGTTCAAGGCTATCCTGGGCTACATCTCAACACCTCCCCCAAAAACTCCACACAGACACACATACATACACACATGTATATGGTTTTTATCAAGGAGTGGTGGTACACACCTATAATCCCAGCCCTCAGAAGGCAGAGACAGGAAGGTTGCTACAAGTTTGAAGCCAACTAGTCTACATAATGAGATGCTATCTCAAAAAAAAAAAAAAAAAAAAAAAAAAAAAAAAAATTGTTTTTTCAAAAAAAAACTCTTGAAGCCAAAAGAGCAGGGACAAATAGCAAATTCTAGGAAGGCTACATTTTGGCCAGTGGGTCCCTGCAGCTGGAGCCTCATCAGTGTGGCTCCATTCCTTGCAGAGAAACAGTCAGAAAAACTCAAATTTTGCATTCCTGTTCCCCTTCACCTCTGCCCACTGGGCCTCAGTGGTGCAATCCATGTAGACTGTGGCAAAAGCCCCACACACAGTGTGGAGATAGGCCAGTAATTTTTCAGGAGACTTTAAAAATAGAGCTGTATAATACATATTTTTAAAAGCAAGAAGCTGTTGTCAAGATTTTTTTTCCATTTTACACATCATAGTTCATAGATTTATGATACAAAGGAATTAACCATCAAAAGAAAAATAAATGTAAATTTCCCCTTTAAAAAAAAAAATGAACACCAGTTACTAGGATAAATAACAACTAGGTTGAATGTTTCCCTCTCCCCCACCCCTACCCAGGAGAAAGATGGGGGAAAAGCCAGTTTGGTGTTTTCATTTCATGGTAATGATTCTGGAAGCTTATTTACACTGTAGCTTCTGAGCTGGAAGTGGACGGTCTCCACTCTTCCTGTTAGTCTTTGTGGTTGTGGGGTGTTCCCACTCATCCAGAGCAGCACCAGTGCAAGGGCAATGAAGAGGACCCAGCTGAAAAACTGTGACTCAGTATTCTTATTTTATTGGTTTATGGCTTGTGGGCAGCTGGTTGGGACCAGCAACTCCAGAGGCCCTGCATGTATCTCCCTTTCCCCCATCAGCTAATTCCACGCTTGGTAGGTCCTCTACCTGAAAGCAGTGTGTAGAGCATTTAAGGATAGGATGCAGCGGGTGTCCCAGGAAAATTCAGCTCTTCTCACTAACACTGGTTTCATGTCTGTTGTGTTAGTACTGACAGGGAAGAAGTGAGTGTGGCCCCTACTACCTAGCCCAAGAACCAGCCTGGGTACCCATGTACTGGGAGGGGCAGCAGAGAGCAGGACAGAAAACTGCTCAATCAGGAAAGGTGGAGAAGGAGGTAAGGAAGCCCTGAGGCTGCCATCCTTTCT